TAAGAATAAGATATTTCTTTAGTGAGCACTCTAATAACATAGTTTCCACTTTTACTTTGAAAGAAAAAGGAATGGATTGTGGACTTTATAAGTACTGACCCAAGTTTCACCCAGAATATTTTAGTTCTACCAGTTGTGCATGTCACAGTACATACAATAAATTAAAATTAACAGCTGGAAGATGACACGCTCTTAAGACTGAAGTGATTAGGGAAGAAGCCAGGGAACCAGCTTAACCAGCTAGCAGGAGATTTCTTCTACATGGGATTTCCTGTACCATCACTCCAAGAAAATTCACAGCACAGGGGGACTGTCAGGAGGAAAGAGAAATATCTTAGCGTCTGGTTGTCTAAAGATCACAGAAAGCTAATGTAGAGAAGGCCAGAGAACAATCTACAATCCAGAAAGCTTAAAAAACAGCTTAAATTTTATCTGTCAAACTATGCTACATGCCATTCAGATATAAACCAGAATTTTGCTTGCTTCAACTCTTAATTTCATTACTTTATGTTATATCCTGTGTCACAAGTCTATCACACACTGAGAGATGCAAGAACTGTTGGGGTACACTTTGACAGCTGTTAAGCTCTGTTTGAAGTTGATATTAGCATTGAGAAAGACGCTGTTTCTATTTTCGGCTCCATGAGTAACTCTAGAAAGTTAAATTCATTCAGTCTGACACCTGATGAGAATCTCATGGCTACCCCAAGTAGAAATGTCATGGGCTTTTTCAATGGTCATTTGTAGTCAGGACTAACACTTTCAGCCTTGTCTAGAATGATTCATACACCATTGCCTAGATTAACACAGTTTTCTTTTTAGTTTTACTGACTTGCAGTTGTGCAATATGGATTCAAGCCAATGAAGAAAATTGTTCCCTCCTTTGGTAATGACAGTAGGAGGTATTTTTGCTTTAGAAGAAAGTTTTGCAAGTGCTTTCTCATACATATTTCATTTTATCATTCTATTGACATACTGAATGTGTCCCATTTGGAAGAAGTCACTGCCAGCATTAAGCTTCCCAGTGGAGTTACAGCCTTCTCCCATAGGACCTCTATCACTGTAGCAGTTCTGTGCCCACCACATACAGATATTTTTTAATGGAACTGTTGGAAAACTTCTCCGCATACCATTTCCTGTCAAATGATATTGTCAGGAAAATGTACACAAAATGAGGTTGTATTTATCATGACAGATAATTCTGTGGTAATGGGACATGAGACCCACCTTACGGTTCTCCTCCTACCTGAGGGGTCAGGTCCTCTTACCAGTGTGGGTCAGATCAATCCATCTGACCCATGCAAACTTCTAGCATGACAGCAAACTTAAAACAATGGAAAGTGCATGAGGTATGTTTAAGGTCTTTTCCTCTTCACTTAAGTTGAGCAATCCTTCAAAACACAGATTTCAGGGTTCACAATCTGCCCCAAAGAGCTGTAGTTAGTTTTCTATGTTGAACCTGAATTAAAAATCCTTAGGATGGAGAACGCCTACTGGGTCTACATTTGAATTAAATTTATATTGCTATCTTCAGTGAAGCCATCTGCAGTATGAGTGCAAATAAAATGAAAATTTACCACCCCCATTTCTGAAATTTAGCGTGTGTGTGGTATTTCACACATTTAATGTGAGTGCCCCAAATGTCACCGTAAAGGTAAACATGCCAGTTTTTAAATATCAGGCACAGCATGTAGTTGCAATCTGTGACAATAAAATCTGGCTTTATAAAAGGAAAAAGGCATGCAAAGGTGAAACACAACTGTGATTTTCCACTTCAAACAGATGAAAACTAGGAATGTTCCTCCTCATAATTGTGTTATGTAAGTTTTATAATAACCCTTATATTCATACTGTAAATTATTTATAAAGACAAGAAATTATTTTAAATATATCTGTACGCTATTTCAAACAGATTAAACCCCCTAATTTTACAGGACAATTTTCCAGCCTGTAGATTCTAGGCTGCTCTTTTAGCAGTTTCCAATTGTTTATTGTATTCTTTCAATTCTTAACTTGAAGGTTGCACTAAGGGCACTGCAAACAAGTGTACTAAGACATATCATCTGATGGGCCAAAACTTAGTGAAGCTTCTTTCATGCCAAGGAATTACAAAGTAACTGACATGAAGAAGAAAATACTTTTAGAGCTGAAGCAATTTTACATCAGGAAGATGAAAACAAGGATTAATAGATTTGAATTAATGGTCTTTTGTTTGTACAAGAAGAAAAAGAGTAAGTTTACAACATAGTGAACCTAAGATGGGAAGTGACTGACTGTGATATAAGACAATAAAGATTCATCTTTTGTATACTGTATGCAAAACACAAAGAAAAATGTTCAAACAAATGCAGAGCAGGCAAGAAAAGACATCAGCTGATACATATTTATACTATGAAGTGCTACGATGGTAAAACACGGGAAACTAACACCTTACATTGAATAGTCTCCCTAGAAATGATAATTATAAAATTGGTCTTACATTCAATGGGCTATTTGTGAAATAAATTATAAATTAACTGCAGTAAAGACAACAGAATCTAGATCCACATAATATCTTTAAATATCTTATCATTTAATATATGAAAGCAGCCCACTATGCAATCTAAGAAGGTAACACCATGTTTGTGACTATGACTTTACAAAATTAAAAGTATATGTGTATTTTTCATGTTAGAATGTGTCTGTCAATTATGTTACTATGCTCTACTGGAATAAGATTAACACTAAATAACACAGAGAGGGAACAACAAGAGAGCTCACGTCATCATTCTGGAGTCAACTGTAGTCTTGCTAAGGAGAGCATGACCACAGGCATATTTTGTGTTAGTTTTATTTTTAAAAGTATTAGAATGTTATGAAAGATTGTCAGAGAGGTTTCACTACTATTCCTAAAAGTGAATTTACTGGTTCAATCTCATTAGAAGTTTTTCAACCATAAATTTCGCTTCAACGCCACAAGGATTGTTACCGATTGAAAACTGTAAGGAGAAAGCACATGGTTCTTTGAATTATACCTGCAAAAACTTTCTTAGTATTTCTTGTATTCCAGTGTCACCTTGGAGAAAACCAGTAAGGGATGGCATCTAGCAACCCAGTACTTTATTAGACAAGTAACAAAGTGTAAGTGCTTACTAAGATTTGAACTTGTAGATACATAGAACTTAATCAAGTGTAGGAAATTTGCCTTGCATTGCATCTGCACTGCATTTAATTATATAAGAAAATATACTTAAATAATCAGAAATCCATACAGTGACCATTATCTCCATTATACATTTGTTGTATACAATAAAACCCCCAAACCCTCATTCACTAGAGGGAACAAGAAAGTGAGAGTGTATTGTATTATACATAACAGTATATATGAAACCAACCCAACCCTTGGCAGTGCAAATTTACAGTATTAAAGGATGCAGTAAAATAACCATTTTAAATCAGTAAATCCTACATTTCATTTATTATACTTCACAGAATAATCGATCATCAGGTGTGATGTGAGTAAGACCACAAACTTCAGCACTACAAATCTGTTTTGTTGTTTGGACTGGATATTTTACTATACTTTCCTCCTAACACGGCAAATTGCATGGAAAATAAGAAATGAATCATATATCCTCCCCCTTATGCACGTATTTCCTTTAGCTGATGGCTTTTGTTGTAACACAATAAAAGCTACCAAGTCCAAATTTGAAGAGGAATCTATGCATATATTTTCAGAATACAGCCATGTGGGCTACACGAGTTGCTATGATTTCAGTTCCTCCTTCTAATTGTCAGTTTAAAAAGTACTTTCAGCTCAGACATGAAGATTAACTAAACCCCACCATATCATTCTATGTGAAACGCTATTATAAAGCAGACACAAAATGATTATTCAAGGTCACTGAGTGAATCACTGGTCGAGATGGAAATTGTGTCTTGCATTTCTAGTTCTCCTTTTGAAGGGATTAATTCAAATATATGAGGATTTGCAATGAAATGCTTCTACTGCTTTCTACATAAGCATCCATGGCAACTGTTATAAGTGTCTTGGTGAATTGTGATCTAACTTCTAGCTGCTTTTTTTGAAAACAAAACAAAACAAAACATAACAACCCACAAAAAAAAAAAAAAACCAAAAAAAATGAACAGGTATAGGCACATCCCCAAGCACTAGAAAAGGTAAATTCTTAGTTGTAGCGTGAATCCAGCTCATATTTAACTTTTATTTAAAAAGTGATTAATCTTCTAAATACAATGATTTGCACTGAAATGTAGGAGACAATTTACAAAGCCGTTTTATTTCACACACACACACATTCATGCATTTGTACATCTATAAGGATGCAAAAGCCAGAAGTTTGATTAGATTAAAAAATTAAAACCAAAACCAGCACAAGTAATAATCCAATCTAATCTGAACCACACAACTCATCCAGTGATTCTCATGTCAAGCCCATAATTCTGGTTGAACCACAGATCAAATTTCATCAATAGAAAGCCATCCCACTCCTAGCTAAGACATTCAAATGTATAATTAGCCTCACTGGGAAAAACATGTGGGTTTGTTCCAGTCCAAATCTATTCAGATTCAGATTCTAACCTTGAGATGTGGTTTTGCCTTTGCCTTATGAACAATAAAAAACACAGAAAATATTCACCGTGAAGAGATATACATATATCTCATACCATTGAGCTACCTGTGTTTCTGCTTGATAATGCAAGGATTACACTAACACAAGAAAAATGTCAATAAAAAGTTTAATTCTTTATAGCTTATGGTATACTGCTGTACCTCTTGACACCAATGAGTCACAAGGTGTAAACTATTAAATATATTTTATGGTCTTTTCAAAGAAATGTTATAGATTGAGAAAGCTTTAAGTACCCTCAGGTTCAATACTAATACGTTTTTAAAAAGTACTTTATACACATACCAAAAATGAGTACACTTCCGTATTTAAACATTCCTCTCTGTGCCGTTGTATTTTATGTAGTAAAATCTTTCATATATCACTTACTTTTTTGTCTTCATTATATTTGTGGAAAATTTCTTGTGCTCTTTCTTCACCACCATCCGTAAACAACATAATAATCTTATTGCAGTTAGCTCTAGAGACACTGTGCTGTGGGAGATACAAACAGAAGCTTTTCTTACTTTCAGGCTATAAGGAATAACAACTGTTATATTTGATGGCTTTCATATCAATGTGCTTACTAATTTAACATGGTAATGGCAAAACTTCCAAAGTCTTTTAGGATTTCATTCAATACCCCTTTCTGAATGAAAAATAAAATCATAAAAAATAAAATAAAATATAAAATAAAATAAAACAGAACCAAAACAAAATCATTTTTTGTTCCATGAGACTTAAATATGACTCATTTTAGATCTGGCGCAACACAGAGGAATGGGGATCTGGTGGTTCCTTGCACCTCCACCAACAGTAAGAAAGCTCTTCAGCTCATACCCATCACATCAACCCCGCAGTGTTTCTCTACACGTTCTGCATGAGACTTGTACAGTGAGGGCCTCTAAGCATTTTTATTCTTCTCTTTTCTCATCCTTACTTCTTTTCTTATCCTTACTGTCCTTGTGGAAATTTGGGAACAATGACCCTCTTACAAATTACTGAATATTCAGTTTTGTTCTGCTGGACTCCTACTCATGGAAACTATCAAGCTCACTGACCGCTTAAATGAAAACTCCAGTAATTTAGGCATCCTCTAGGTACATCTAAAAAACTCTACCTTACAAACTTAGAAATATTTTTACATTTGCTATTTTTGTCACATTTCCTTAAAATAAACTCCATCATCCACTTCTTTAATTCTTTCCTTTTTTTAATTATTTTTTTAATATGCTGAAATTAATAGGTAACCTTTAGAAAAGTATTTTAGAATCAGGTTTACATAATATATTGTAGCCAAGATACGGCTGCCTAGAGTATTAAGATTTCTCCATCACCTACTTTTCTAATTAAATTGCAACTCAGAGGTGAAGAAGAACTGAGCATGTTCCATTATTTCTGGAGAGCAATCTTGGAACAGAGAGAATTGAGAAGAAGCCCCTCTGACTCCTAATTGAGCAGTCAAAGTAACTAGTAAAGCCACTGAGAAAAACACAGTGCATTGTGCAATGGAATAAAAACATTGTTCCACAGCCAGAACAATAGAGAGATGAATATGAACTTTGGCTCCTTATGAAAGGAGCCAAAGTCTCCTCCTTCAGCATTCATCTTCTTTCCTTATTCCCTAAAAGTTAAGAATCTAGTCTAAGCAAATTGTTCATGAATTTTACAGCCAGCGTTCCTTATCCTCTGTGTTGCATACAAATGGTCCTAGTCAGACACATCTTGGTACTTCTGAGTAGCTGGATGTGACAGAGTAAAACCCTTAGAAATTCAGTAAAATAAATTCAACTTCCCCTTCCACAAGCCTGAATTTTGCTGTATTAATTTACTATACAGTCAGGAAAAGAAATAGGATGGTCATCCTTACAAAGTACCTTCTTCTCCCTTGCTTTAGTCTTTGTGACTAGATAGTGACTAACTTTCACCTGGCTGGTCAGGTGAGATGATCCCGCTCCCTTTCATTACTTTTGATCCTACTCTCTGATCTGATTCCTTGTTCTTCTGTGATAAAGAGGCCGAAACACCAAAGCCAGCCCTCAAACATCAGCAAATAATCCTCAATATTGCAGCTCCACAGTTCTACAATGCTCCCAGAAAGCTAAAATACAAAAACTTTATTTGCAATCACTATATTAACAGATGAATAATTATTCCTCAGGGATGATTTTTATTGGTAGTTCAACATTCAGTGAATAACTACTTATTTAATAATTTGTAAAAAAACAGTCCAAAGATTTTCTTACATGTAACAACACATAAAAACCATTTGAAAGCAATACATTCTCTCCAATCTCATCAGCACGCTGTGTTTCATTTGGAATTAAATAATTTATGACCATTTTTTGCTTGTGAAATATAACCTACAACACACTGCTTTGGGCTGCAATCATTTCGATATTAAAAAAGTAATAAAAGTAGAGTTGGATACTTCATAAATAAAGAAATTCACCTACATTTACAGTGATTTAATATACGGGCCAAAAAAAAATCAGAGGGAAACCAAAGAGATGACAAAGAAGGGGACCAAAGCCTGTTCATATTATAAAACTTTCCTATTGATTTTAAAGTGGGCAATGTGAACTTGAGCTAGTCTTTGTTTTAACTAACTAAATCAGGATTTTTCTAGCAGCTGTCTTAGCATATGCTAATACAGTATCAGAAAAATGCAGTGTTTTCTCTTTATCTCCTAGTGCTTACAGAAGGGCATTTACTTACACTACACTGTTTAGACACTAAGGTCACGTGATGGAAAAAAAATCCAAGATTTTATCCTCCAAACAATATTGGAAACCTGAATATGAATAAACTCAAATCATATGTTGATTTCCCAACGTAAAAACTTTGCATCCTGATGAATGAACTATACAGATCAGTTTCTTATAACTGATCGAAAGGAAGGCAGAATTACCTTTACAACATATTTTTTTTTCCCTCCTGTTTGTACAAAGATGGAGAGATACTGGCTCAGGGAGTGAATAGAAGTGATTTTGTAAAGCTGATGAAGTAATTTCATAATTTCTCTGAACAGTATGCTTCACCAGCCCAATGGACAGCACTGCCCTCCCATCACAGACCACAGCTGAAGAGGAATGTCTTGCCTGTGCAGCAGCTTCCCCAGGACAAAAAACAGCTTCTTAGCTTAAACCACAGAAGAATACAAGTTGGAACTGAGTCTACGTATTCATTTTTAGCTCTCTCTTGCACTTGATAAAGGCCTTTCCTTTTTTTTTCTTTCAAAAAAGCAAGCAAGAAATGATCCTTTTTATGCCATACCTAAAATTGGTTTTGTTTTATACAAGTTTCACATCCTTAAAATTAACTCATTAAATGGCAGGTCAGGATTACACCTTGTGACATGACACTTTAGGAATGCATTTTTCATTATGAGTTTCATGCCACTGAAGAAGGAAAAGGTAAACCAAGGCAAAAATCAACTACTTGAATCAAGAAGAGATTATTTCAAGATAATTTTTTGACAAATCATAGTTGTTATGCTATGAGGAAAAAACCTTCCTGAATTCCTGGAGCTGAAGTATTATTATTTTCAAAGGAGTAGCAAGCTAATATAACAGTAAATAATGGAAAAATACTGCATAAGAATGATGGAATCCAGATTATCCATATTCACTTGAATTAGTACATTGAAAAAACCTAAAGTGTCTATTGCCATCTAGCAACACATCAGACAATAAGTTTTGCATGGCACAAGTAAAATATTACTTTGGTATTCAAGAAAATTGTAAGAAATAACTGTCATCCAGAAATAGTACCCACAAAATTATTACAAGAATCTGAGCTGTTAAAAACTGTTCCATCTCCATGGACCTTAAAGCAATTGGACTGTTTGAATTCATAAATATACAACTGGAAGCTATCCCTAAGCATATTGTTTTATTATTTGTTTAAGCCTGTATTATATCATCCTATTATATTGTCTTGTCACCAGAGTCTAGTGCTAACTCCATCACCAGCCCTTTACTCTTCCTGCCAAACGCATTTGCCAATATCTGGAGAGGATGACTGTATTTTTATAACCTAGCACAATCTATTAATTTCCCTTGATATACACATTCACAGTGTCCAGCCATAACTTACAGGCTTGCAGAGATTATGTGAGGCTAATCACACCTCTGTCTCCAATTATGAGAGAGACGGTCCCACTATGAGACTGATCTCCAATTATTTTTTTAAGCAATTTTTTTTAGTCCTACAAATAAGTCCACTTTGAGGTTTCCCCTGTGTTCAGGTCTTCTTAATACTGCCTGCACACAAAGTACATACCTGGTGCTGCACCAAATGTAATACATAATGTTAATCAAATATAAACATTATGAGGAACAAGCTATGTTTGGCAAAATTTCTTGTGTCTTGCTGGTTCCCTCTGAATGAGATGAATGAAGAAAAAGGGGAAATGTCGTTCTGCCTGGCCCGAAAAGTCCAGCAGGTTTTAAAATCCTGTTTGCAGTTTTATACAACGATCAGCAGAGGGCACACAATCATTTCCCCACCAAACCCCTCTGCTTATCTAAACAGTGATCTGCTGAGAAAATACAAACATTGTATTTTCTTTTCCTCCATCAAAATTTAACAAGGTTAGGAATTTTTCAACCAGCTCTAGCCCTAAGCTGCATATACAACGGCAGGGAAGCACCCTGAAGTCCAGAATCTGGCAGATTAGGGGAAAAAAAATTAAACATTTGTACACTGAGGGACATAACTGATATATTAAAAAAAAATAAAAAGAATACACTTTATATTTATTAAGCTAGATTCTCCTGTAAATTGGTATAGCTTTATTTACACTAAGGTGAAGATCCAATATGCAGTCTTTATGAAGGTGAAATGTAGTTTTTTTTTTAAAACAATTACATAAACTATTAAAAAAATGACTAATAAACCCCCAACATTTGTGGTAAATGGGAAACATTGCTACTTAGAAAGCTAGTGCTTGGGTGCAAACTAGAAAATACACTGTAATTAAAACATGGAGACAATACATTTAATTTTTGAGGAAATTTAATTTTATGCATGAGAAGGAAAAAGGAATTAGAATGCTCTCAGGTGCCTAATAATCCTCTGTTAATTAAGTAACTTGCTCCCCTATGTCCTGCACAAGCCATGGTCAACTATTTATGACATGTAATAAATATAAAATTGCAGGTTAACTAAACGTTGCTAGGAGATATTGTGGTAAATCTGAAATAATAACCTTGTAACATTCTGTAGCCTTCCATTTTAAAATTACCTGCAAATCAACCACTGCCACAGCTATGTGCCAACGGAGAATCACATTAAATGAAAAACTAGCTTAATGAATGAAGTAAAAACAGTACAGCACATTGAAAACCAAATCTATTCCCAAATCTTAGCAATCTGCTGGGGGATCTGCAAAGAAAAAACATATTGTTGGGATAAATTTACTTGCTAAATAAGGTGTTGTACTGATTATCACTCAGTTACATGATGGGAGAGCATGCAGTGACCATCTGAACATTCAAGTTCTTCTTCACTTTACAGCAGCGAGAGATGACTTTCATACTTACATTTAGCAGCTGTTCAAAAGCATAGCTAAAGCCTTTTTTGTAATCTGTAATTCCTTTGGCAGAGATTTTATAGACAGCTTCTTTCAGCTTCTTCTTGTTCCTCACATTAGCTTGGACAAGATGATTAAAGCAACTGACATTCTGGGCATTATTGTTAAACTGTAAAATAAATAGAAATAGTATTAAAGACAGTTAATTCTCTTTTCTAGGTGCTGTAGTAGTAAAAGCTAATGGTTTCTTGATCCATGAGATAAAGCATGTCACACCTGGATTTTAATTTCCACTACATTAAGAATGTCCAGCAGTGTCTGCAGATTTCAAAATTGGGCAATAAATATTAAAAAGAAAAGGTATCCAGTGGTTCACTCTTTGTTGCAATCCAAAACCCTCTACTGTAGTGGGAAAACTCCCATGAATTCTTTTTTCAAGCTCATATAATGAAATCAAACAGAGAAACGCAGAGTTAGGGAAATATAAAACATGGGAAAATGTTTATTTTACTTTTTTTCATTACTGAAAAATACTGGTTGAATCATCAGGTGACTTCCGTATTGCACGTACTAGTCTGTTGCTAAACCTGCTGTTTTACAATGAAATTTTTAGGTCATGATCAATTAGTACATATGTCTTATAGAAAACAAAATACACTCTTGGGGCAAAGGAAGCACATGAAAGTATAGCTGTAGATAGGAAAATATTGTTAATAATAACACAAATTTGCGTATTAAGAACACACATATTTGTTCTCTCTTACCCACATACCTGTAAAGACTACCCCCTGAAAAATTAATTCATACAAGATTCTGACATTATTTAAAAACATACACAGAAAATTTTTTATGTGCAAATTGTCTGCACAAGTAGAAATCAGTTTATGATCTCTTTAAAATTTGTCCCTGTATAAATACACAGATATACATTTATAAGTACAAATATATATATATCCTGGTAGAGAGCAGGATGCAGAAAGACGTCTCACTTTTTAGCTACCTCTGTATCTGTCTATCTAAAGTCAAAGATGAGACTTCTCTTTAAAAATGCTGCAGCACGTATGATTCTAACTGTAGTCTTGGATGACAGTGCATATTACTGCACGTAATCTGTGTTGTACTCTATTTGAATGAAAATCTCCTTTTAACTACAACACAGTGATTTTTATTTAAGGAACTCTTGATGAATATTACTAAAACTATTGTCTTAGCCAATTTTTAAACTGTTTTATCTATTCCTATTTCTTGTGTGAGCTTTTTTTCTCCCTGGCAAATAAGATGTCCAAAAAACTCGGTAAAACTCCATCTCAGTGAAGGCACTAAACCCCAGACCTCCTAATTTACTTTTCAGCTGAAAACAGCTTATTATGTCTCTTCCTGATTAAGAGTCTTCAGTGAAAGTAGATGTAAATGTAGTTTTATGCTGTCAACCTGGTGCAAAGCCTTAAAATAACTTAAAAATCAGGCCTTGTTGGCTTAAGTCTCAATACTGCTAATTAGTTCAATAGTACTGTATAGAAGATAAGGTAAGTAAGGTCACAGATTTCAATAACTGCTCAGACTACTTACATGTCTAAAATAAATCACTAAGTACCAGACACAAAGTACGGAGAGAGACCTGCTATCAGCAGCAAACATCAACTTGCACTGTAATTGTAGGACACTTACAATGAACAGAACTTAAAAGGATGAAGGAATCGATAATATCAAATCACTCTTAATAATGCATAATAATTCAATTCAAGTTAATAGGATGCTTAGGAGGTATGAAGACTTTTCCATGTCCTGGAATCAGATGCGTACAGATGCATGCTCCCTGCCCTTAGGACCAATTACTACCAGTAATTTTTACCAAACGTCCACTTTAATCAATGAGAGTTCTGCTATTGACTTTGTAGGAGCAAATGTATAACAGCAAATACAGTACAGCTTAGGGCAGAGATGACTGACAGAGAAAGGCATGATCCTCAGCAGGAGGCTTTAGCGTAATTTGTTCCAGATCCTTCTTGAAAATAGCCACAGAGCTGCAACTGTGGGTTTTTTGGCTGTAAGTAAGCAAATCCAAGCACTATTATGAGAGCATTTGCTATGCTGGATTCTAACTTACGGTTCCACACGTAATTTTTTATTCTCACAAAAAGGATGTGTCAAAGTGCCCCATGAACTAGAGACTTTAAAGCATGAATTTGTCTGCCTCATCTTCTAATATCATTATTGTACCACAAGCCACTCCTGCATGTATGTGGAACCTAAAGAAGAAAACCCACTATTTTGATTTGGAGCATTAAGCAGTTCACAACTAATCTCAGAGCTTGTCATCTTCATGTTATATTTATTTTTCCAGGGAGCTTATTTTTGCTCTTTCCTCACAAATTAATATTGCTTTTTGGTGAGATACTGATACTGGTTTATGGTATAGCTGCTGTTTTTCTGAGGACTGTATTTGCTAAAAAATTGTATGGAATCTTGCTAGGCAAGGATATACACTATGAGAATACCATATAAGAATCTTCATATGTCTTTCTAATTAATAAGCAGAGTTATTATTCTGTCGCAATTTTATAGCTCTGTTCCCCAGGTGATTAAAATCTGTGTGAGCAAGTTATTCTCAAATGACTTTATGTAAAGTTTTCTGTCCCCTTTTCTATCAATATGCAGTTCCCAATGTGTCCCAAGGAGACATCTGTTTCTAAAAACATGCAAAAGCATGAGCAAGTGTTTTAACTCTGAAAAAGGCAATGTTGTATTTGACCAGGCATTTGACAAGAGTCAGTTGTATATAATAATATGATAAAGGTTGCTTATTTATTTTTGTAATGTTCTATTTATCAGGGCTTTAATTTTCATAATACTACAACTATAAATATAGTATAATAATTCTAAATTATTTACAGTAACAAAAGTATGAAAACAGGTGAGCTAATGAAGATAAAAAGTATTTTCCAGTTCTCTCAGCATCACAATGCAAACTTCACCTTTCAAATAAATGAACACATGGAATTGGATTTCATATAACCAATTTTTCAGCTTGAATATTCCTTTAATGTATGCCATATTGCCCAGAAAAGAATAATTTTGGTAGGAACAACCCTCTGCTGTGATGAAAATGTAAGACTCCCAACTGAACCCTAACGTATCTATCTATTGTGTGATTTTAAAGCCATTATCTTTTATAAAAGTTCTTTCCCCAGACTCAAACAAATTATAGTCATTCATTTTTCCATTTCCCCTCAATATCACATGGTGATTTTTATTTGCTGAACAAAACCATGGAATGATCACACAATTGTAATCAATTCACTTTGATGCAGAACACTGACACACTCAATGGTGTTTCTTATAGAAATTTCTTACAGAAGTAAGCCATAAATCACCCAATGATTATTAGGTACATTAACCATATGGGAGTGAAAACATTGTGCTGTGGAATTATTTCAGCTTGCTTTGACCTGATTTTGTAACCATGATTGGAAAATTACTCAAGTAAAGTAATTTTAAAAATACAAGATCTGAGAATGAATTCTAATTGTGAGTACAGATCTTGTGCTTGGAAAGTAGAACACTATCTGGTAGGTAGCTCTGGTCTACATAAGCCAATTTCATCTGAAGAAGAAGAGTGACAACACTGTTCTGCTTCATCAGTGACATTATAAGCAAATTATTTCATGAGCTAATATAAAAGTAACCATAAATTCAGCCTTATGGTCAGTGTACGCCTTGTCTTGGGCTATAGCAAACAGCAGTTCAAGTGAAAACTTAGTGACAAGTGAAGATTTCTCCCTGAAATGCCACTAACGTTAAACCGCAAATCTAAATTGCTTGCTAGCAGTCCTGCAAATGCATCAGGATAATTATTTCTATGAAGGTCAGGTATCTAGCATATGGATTGGTAATTACAGATACAAAAGTGACATTTTAAAAATTGACAGGAATAGTGGCTCAAACTGTTTAAGCAGTTAACAAGTAAACTGTACTGTACTTACACATGATGTAAACTGAACAAAGGGTCAAGGTCAAAATATCTGCATCTATAGACTGACAAATGCTGATGTAAAATGAAGGAGAAAAATAACACACTTGTAGAACGGAGAGTTACATCAACCAAAGTCTGCAAATGCTGTAATTTAATTAAGAAAATATATGAGCCAGCTATTTTGAAATACATCAGTCAATGTTAATGTAAACGTCACTCAACAAAGCAGACGAGAAGAGTTTTTGATTAGATAAAGGAATAGCAATCCTCCAAAATGAACATTTACCTGTTTGCTAGGAGGTGAAGGCAAGTCTGAAGGTTGAAATGTGACTCTTAAAAATGTCCAAAGGGAGGAACAAAATTCAGGGCTACATTTAATTAATTTGAACTCCAGTAAAATACTGAAGTAACTGAAGGATTTCAAGTGTAAAAGCCTTCAGTTTGCCTTTAAAACTGGCTTGTCATACCCGCTACACAACACTAAAATAATTTTGCTCTTTATCCAGTTGACCATGTGACAAATACCAGGACTATTCATACCTTTGAATTAGGCAAACTGAGCTAGTTTTCACTTACACTCATCTGAAATATAGCTATAGTGACATTAATAATTTTTCACACATTAAGATAGCAAAAGCCAAAATACCTGCAATAAGCCTATGACAACTACTGGTCACATTACCCATCTCCTAAGAAGCATAATAAGGCTTATATGGGTGTGGATGATTCTTGAAAACCAGTTAACAATATACTCAATCACTTAGTATCCAGCTGGAAGAAAGAACATGCAACATTTCAAAAACCAATTGCCACTTCAGAAAGTCCATGTTCTTACATAATCAAGTCCTGCCAAAGGTTTAAAGTTAAAGTCATTACAATCCATACTTTATTGAATAAAATACTCTCAATGTATCTACATGAAATGTCAGTTGGGTATTTCTCAGACCGGAATATCCCCCTAATTATTGCAGTAAAGATAAACATTTGTCATAAAAATGCTATTGTGGTAAAAAGAAAATAAATGGAATTTGTGTACGATGCCGTGGGCTCAGTGAGTCACTTACAAAACAACAGATGACATCTAGAGGCAAACCATTTAATTGTTAAAATCTAAAGCCACCCACTACTAGTGACAGCTTCTACTTTTTAAACTATATAAAAACCTTATTCCTTATCTAAGCTAAAATAAGAGGGGT